GTGCTCACAGATTCTCTTCCTAAAAGGTATACGTCAGTAAATTAGGCTGGAAGTGAACATAAATGCTGGTGAAAAGATCATTTATAACTTACAAACATGACAGATACATGAAAATAGCCAGGAAGGCCAAACATCTTCCAGTACTACGGATGATGGTCAAACACACTTTGCATATTAGATATATAACAATCGGTAATAAAAACATAACAGAGCGAGTATCAAATCAAATTAACAGACCTAATAGCAATCGTATCACAAAGTTAGATGATCCATTAAAATCATCTGATGCAGCTACTTATTAACTTGTATAATAATAATTGCAGTGCAGTAAACAAGGACAGTCGGATATAGAATATAAAGCAATATTTTGAAGACTGTCGCATTGCTATTCCAGCTGGAATTGTTAGAAATGAATTGGAATTATTAAATGACATCCAACAATATAATCAAGAGGAATCAGGTAAATAATGATTTTAGTGATGCTAACTTGAACAATAATACAGGTGCAAAAAATAATCGTTATTAGATATGATAAAGATGAATTAATAAAGTCAAGATAAAAAGAAAAATGAAAGATAGATGACATGGAAAATAAAATCAACGCTAAAAACAGGTTGATTAGAGCTGAGAAAACTACTTGCAATTTATCTATCGCTATTTTGTCATAAAATGATAACAGTTTCAAAATAACAACGCTTTAACAATGAACTAAATACTTGCAGATTTAATTATTAATGTTAGTCCTGCAATATTCTAAGGAAAATAAAACCAGAGGAAATCAGTAGCATTCGATATCGTTAAGACTCCGTGGCACTGAACGAGGCAACAGAATGAACCAAAACGATTAAAGTTTGTAAACATTTCATTATCTAAGTTATAAAACAAAAATTTAAGAGGAACATTCAGTAGCATGAAATAAATCCATATTAGTCCTAAAATTGCTACACAAATCCAAACGAATCGAGTTTTGCGAATGGATTAAAAGTCCCGAATGTGCTGATATGTCAACCGTCTACATGTATCACAACAACATTGCCTAGACCGCCATTGAATAAATTCATAACAATCCCAGAACAATATTTTAGTTCAAACAATAACATGAGCGCATTGAAATCCAATGAATTGTTCAAACAATGTCTCTCAAATTATGTATAAACACATATGCAGACTAATATTAAAACAAAGTATACGAAATAAGACTGAATTAATTGATCAATTCTCTCTCTCTCTCTCTCTCTCTCTCTCTCTCTCTCTCTCTATATATATATATATATATATATATATATATATATATATATATATATATATATATATATATATATATATATATATATATATATATATATATATATATATATATATATATATATATATATATATGCAATAAACTGACGACGAACAGTACGAAACTAGTAACTAACTAGGCTAGTTACTAGTTTCGTACTGTTCGTCGTCAGTTTATTGCATCTATTTTAATTAATCCCTGACACACGGGATCCCTTGGTGGATCCAGTACGCTTGAAAGGGTTGTTATTCACCATATGACTGGTATATATATATATATATATATATATATATATATATATATATATATATATATATATATATATATATATATATATATATATATATATATATATATATATATATATATATATATATATATATTTATATTTATATATTAGAGAATAGGAGAACTGATCAATTAAATCAGACTTATTTCGTATGCTTTGTTTTAATATTAATATGCATATGCGTTTATACATAATTTGCTACAACTCTCGGCTCGTTCTAGAAACAAAGAAAAGAGTGAAGTCAACAAGTTTTGTAAATTTTGACAGAGATATTTTTTACCTTGAAATCACAGTAAATATGTGAAAAAAGGGACTTACAGTTTGTAAATATAATCCAAAAATTAATCCTGTAATTTAAAAATATGATGTTATTCATGACGTCATTTGTCATCGTGACTTAAATAAAATTACTTAAACTCAACAACAGCCACAGGCTTGACAGTAGTTCAAAACGGCCATAATTTGCATCTGAGGTTGTTTATATCTTTTAGCTGGCTGGAAAGGCTCCAGACGTTGTGAATGCTATCGTGCATGCCAGAAAGAAAAGCTGCAAGCATCTGACATTTTGCCAATTATATTCTGAAAAGTTATATTGTCACGAAAATTTCTCTAAATGACTTTCGCTTCATTTTTTGTTTGATAACTCGCAAAATGTCACAGTATATGACCTTCATACCGACTAATCATTTTAACTCAAGTGTTTACCAAGTACATGAACAAAAAACATAATTGAGTACTGATATAAATGAGTACTGATATAAATGAGTACTGATAGAATTGAGTACTGATATAAATGAGTACTGATATAATTGAGTACTGATATAAATGAGTACTGATACAATTGAGTACTGATATAAATGAGTACTGATATAATTGAATACTGACCTGAGTACAAGCCATTTGTATCAATCATACTAATCTCGGAAGTACCAAATTTCGTTTACCAAAGTATATAATCTAACCAATAAGTTCCATTTACCAAAAAGTATGTTAAATTAAATGTGAACTGTCGAAAATGATTTTTAAAAGAAAAACTTACGAAAGGTTAATTTGTAAACAAAAGTAGCTTTGATTTGCACTTTTCAGATTTTGTCTATTATTCTCTACACCGTCTTGGTCTCTCTGCTTCTCTATCTCTCTCTCCCACCCACATCTCTCTCTCTCTCTCTCTCTCTCTCTCTCTCTCTCTCTCTCTCTCTCTCTCTCTCTCTCTCTCTCTCTCTCTCTCTCTCTCTCTGATTAAAGCAAACGACAAATGTCGATGGTGTACTTGAATTTAATCACCTGATTAACCACTAATAAGTGTTGTATCAACTTGAATGAATAACTAAATTTCAGTATATAAATTGTACAATGCAACGCTACTGAAACATGTTTCCATGTTTTATGTTGGAATCTTGGGTACAAATATTACATTTTATTCTAATGAAGAAGTTTCAAGACAGATTTACGTCAATTAGAGAGAAAAGTCATAAACAAGTGCCTTGTATATTGATAACTGTCCTACCATGCTGTATCTTTTAATAGCACACAATGCAAAATAAGTTTATTTTCTGCCTTTATATAATCATCGCCTTCTCTCTTCAAACACCATGATACATTACAGTATTACTGCATACTATGAAAGTATTTGAAATTGTACATTTTGTCTCAAAGACTAGATTACTGAATTTGGGTTATGTTTATTTGTTTCGAAAATATGTAGTGTGATAAATTTGCTGCGTGTTGTGGGGATTCAAAAATGAAATCGCCTAATACTTTATGTGTTTTACATTGATCTCATAGGAACATTGATATATCAATGTACCGATATAATGCCTAAAGTTTCTGGAAGACAAATGGACTACGTATCTAATCAATGGAAATGAATGAGGTCTTATGCATAAAAGTTAACAGGTATTTGTCAAGGTGACCTCATGTTACCACAGCCTTTTATGTTTGCAAATAATACATATCAAAATCAAGAGGTGTAAAAATGTCACTATTCAAGTTTCTACACTGCCATTTGTCACCTTGGTAAATTTAGTAATATTCTACCTCATTATATTATATGCTAATTAAAATAGACGTCAACTATAATTAATTAATCTGTCAAGTTGATACGTCATTGCATATTATATATTATACTTGAGACGAAATTCAGACTTGACAAACATAAAATAATGGGGTTATCGATTGTTTGCTGCTGGTATGGTATAGTTATAGAAACATTATCCCTTAGGTGTGTCTGTCTTTGCAATATAGATTCATGTATCACAAGGGATAAAACAGGTTCCTTAAAGACAAGCGATCATTCATCTTACAGTGTTGGATTTTCTTGATTATAAAACTGTAATGATATCTTTCATTTTCATCTATTGCTATCAAAAGCATAATAATACCAACTGAAAGTAAATGACTCATTAAATCAAATAAGATATTAAATATGAAAACGTTAATTCTCCTATCAATGTTCTAACACATACCTGAATTATTTCACCATTGCATACATATTTCGTTCGCTTTAGGTATGTATTGGGGAATTCTATTGATCTTGCCACGTTTCAAAATAAATTCCGAATTGATTATTTTACCATACTTTATATAACATGTGCAACATATTGTCTAACAAGATACCGAACTAAAATTAATATCGGTATTAGTCAGGTCATTAAGTTAAGAGGATGCCGCATTTCACTGAGTGAAAGTCGTTTATTCCCCACCCAATTCACAAATGAAAACTATGATTATCTCCTGTGTAAGATTTTAGTATACGGAAGTCGTGATTAACTCCTGTGAAAATTGTTATAATGCTGTCTCAATACATTCAAGAGTTGTATTAATTAATCTTCTAAACACTTAATAGTGTCATAAACATAGATTCAAAATAATTTAGCTTGTTACAAATCTATGTTCCAAACACTCATCTTTCAGATCACTTTACTAGAAAAAAAAGTGAGAATAACTAACGTGTAAGTATTTGTCATTTAATGAAGCATTTAATCTGGTTTGAGATATTTATGAATATGACACCTAGTAGGCTTTATTTATGTTTGTAGAAAACAAGTGCAAACAGTAACAGAAATTCTCCCCTTTTACATTAGGGTTTAAAAATTTCATTTTCTTTTTTATATAAATAAATAATTTTGATAAATTATCGACACTTTCTTATCTTGTTCTAATCAGAATAGTACCTTAAACTTAGATTAGAACACTCTATAGTATCTTGAACCTAGGTTAAAACACTATATCGTACTTTGAACCTAGGTGTTGTGTGTGTGTTGTGACTTTTGGATTCTTAAAGTAGCTTAAATAATTTTTCATTCATATCACTATAATTTCTGCAATGTTACATTTCATAGTGATGTCTAGCACTGAGGCATCATGCCGCAATCAAAAAGCATGATGAGGCAGCTGCTAGAACCGATTTACAAGTTTTTGGTATGACTCTTCCGGGTTTGAACCCGTGACCTCCCGCATCTGAGGCGGGCGCTCTAACCACTTGGCCACGGGAGATGGATACCAATATATAGTGACGCTCTATATAACTTTGAACCTAGGACTAGAATACCCTATGGTACTGTGAACCTAGGACTAGCACACTATATAGTACTTGGAACATAGGATTAGAAATACTCTATAGTACTTCGAAACTAGGACCAGAATATTCTCTAGTACATTGAACCTAGGATTATAATAGTCTATAATACGTTGAACCTAGGACAAAAATACTCATAGTAATTTGACCCTTGGACTAGAATACTCTATAGCACTTAGAACCTAGGAATAGAATGCTCTATAGCACTATCAACCTAGGACTAGAATACTCTATATTACTTTGAACCTAGGGTTAGAATACTATATAGCACTTTGAACCTAGGACTAGAATGCTCTATGGCACTTTCACCCTAGGACTAGAATGTTCTATAGTACTTTGAACCTAGGACGAGAATACCCTATAGTATTTTGAACATAGGATTAGAATACTCTACAGTAATTTGAACCTAGGATTAGAATACTCTATAGTACTATGAACCTATGATTAGCATACTCTATAGCACTATGAACCTAGGACTAGAATACTTTGTAGAACTTTGAACCTAGGATTAGAATACCCTGTAGAACTTTGAACCTAGGATTAGAATACACTATAGAACTTTGAACCTAGGACTAGAATACTCTATAGTACTTTGAACCTAGAATTAAAATACTCTATAGTAATTTGTACCTAGGAATAGTATACTCAATAGTACTTTAGACCTAGGATTATAATACTGTATAGTAATTTGAAACTAGAATTATAATAATATATGGTACTTTGAATCTATGACTAGAATACTTTACAGTACTTTGATCCTAGGATTACAATACTCTGTAGAACTTTGAACCTAGGATTATAATACCCCTTAATACTTTGAACCTAGGATTAGAATAGTATCTAGTACTTTGAGCCTAGGATTATAATACTCTATAGTAATTTGAACCATGGATTAAGCTACTCTATAGTACTTTGAATCTAGGATTAGTATACTCTATAGTAATTTGAACCTAGATGTAAAAATATATGTAGTACTTTAAAGCTAGGCTTTTAACACCATAGTACTTTAAACCTGTACCTTTAACTTAGATCTAGAAGACTCTATAGGGAATTGAAGCTATGATTTCAATACTCCATGGTTCTTTGAACTAAGTTTTAGAACACTATAATATATTGAACCAATACTTTGAACACAGGTTTAGAATACTCTATTACTTTGTACTTAGTTTATAAAACTATACTACTCAGAAAAGAAATTTAGAACACTTAACATGACTTTGAACCTGGGTTCACAACACAGTATAATACTTTGAAACTTTGAACCAAAGCTTAGAATATTCTTTATTAATTTGAATCTACGTTGAGAACTATATACAATATCTTTATCCTACGTTGAGAACACTACTTAATGTACTTAACCTACGTCGATAACATTCAGTAGTACCTTGAACCTAAATTTAGAACACTTTATAGTACATTGACCTAGATTTGAAGACTTTATATTGCTTTTAACCCAGGTATAGAACGTTATATGATACTTTGAACCTAGGTTTATAACATTCTTTATTCCTATCTTAACCTTAACATCAGTCTTTACGGGAATCAGTTTCATTTGTGTTGCGGTTAATATTTTATATGATTTATTGATTTCAATTATTACAATGTATTCTTTGACTTTCGGACTAAATCCTCATATTATTAACTTTGGATTATTGTTAATTCTTTACACACATTTTAGATTATTGTATTGTGATACAGCAAGACTATTAGCAAATCAACACTATTCCAGGCTATTTTTGCATCTGCACATTCCTAATTGGATTTCATTGCGAACAGTACTGGAATTCATTTGAAATACTCTGTACTTATATACCTGTACTAGAACATTTAGGACTATTGGAATTTAATTCACATTACTGTATTTTCTTTTAAATTTTCCCTGTGTATTCCAAAGAAATAAAATATTTATTGAATTTAAATACACGTTATCTTCGCGCTTTACAATTCCTTAGTTTAAGACCACGGAATCGTAATATTTACAGTTGTTTTCCCCGAAACAATTTATAACAGTATATATCTGTTTTATTGTTAACCTTGAGAAATCTCAAATATTAAGTGCGTCCGAATGTTTCATTTTACCTGGGTGAAAATACGATAAATTGGAGTGATTTGAAAAGCTAATTCATATTTCTAAACTAAGTATGGATTGTCTCCTCTGACTCACTAGACTCGAAATAATTATAACCCAAGGAAAGTATATTAAGAAACGTCTAAGTAGTAATATTATCTGTATAGACTCAACAAAGTTCTGATACATTGTTGTATTACTGGCAAAGTAAGAAGACGTGGAATACACGCAAGTACTGCTCAAAATTTATACTTCATTGACGGTGATGCTTCAAACATAATTTTGCACCAGTTTTGTAAACTGTTAACAACTGACTTTTCGTCACAATTAATGCATAAATTAGGCATTTACACAGGGTGTACCATTTACCTCTTAAATTGTTGACAAGATCATAAAGCTTGTCCGTCTCAAAATAGAGATACTTTTTGCTGTTTATGTTTTTATTATTCTGCTTTGTATACATCATTATATAACCTTACACCATTACCATGTCAAAATTATGTGTTTGTGTGTATCATGTATCACATTCTTATTTAATGCTTTCTTGATTCACACTAGTTTGACTTTTGGCTGAAAAGAGATAAAATTGTCTTTAACATAAGTAACATGATATACATACATACATATATATATATATATATATATATATATATATATATATATATATATATATATATAGAGAGAGAGAGAGAGAGAGAGAGAGAGAGAGAGAGAGAGAGAGAGAGAGAGAGAGAGAGAGAGAGAGAGAGAGAGAGAGAAATCATGAAGAAACAAAATCCATACGAAAGCGAAAGCCTTGCTGTTGATTTTATCACTTTCTTGTGAACAAATCCAAATGTGGATATAGTGGCGTATTGACTACATACAAGTGTGTCTTTCTGTCCAACGAAATCTACAAAAAAAATTTGAAACATGGAAGTGAATTTTCGTTATATCTTAGTTTCCATATTTACATAAATACCCTTTGCAACCACTGAATTTATATAAAAGAGAAGTCTTAGTCAAAGCTAAATGAAATTTGTACACTTAAACTGCAGCTATAGAGAAAACCTCTTCACATATATACATGTCATTGGATTAATAAGACTTAGTAATATTATATAAATCGTCAATCGTAAACTGTGGTCCTATTGATGTATGACAATAATTTACTTTATGTTTACAAGTATTGGTATATATGTAATTTTAAGTAAAGAAGTCTAGTCCTTGATTTATTTTACTGTACTTTTTGTCGTGGTTATTTATACAAAAAAAGGAAGGAACCAAACTGTACAATTACTTACCAACGACTGTTAAAACTCGATCACAAGAGCAACTATTGTTACTTTCAGCGGTTATCCACTAGTAAACGAAGAATGACTGTAACTACAACAATAATACTAAAACATCACAGCAGCAGCAAATGTAAGACAAGTACACGAAAGCAACACCTAGAACTGTTACGACTACTCCTACAACAGTCTAACATTACCACAACTGCTACACTACATTATTACCTATAACAGCAACACAAATTACTACATGTACTACAATTACTATATGTACTATAAACAATACCATGACAATATGACCAGCTATGTACTGATAATAATAATAATAATAATAATAATAATAATAATAATAATAATAATAATAATAATAATAATGATAATAATAATAATAATAATAATAATAATAATAATAATAATAATAATAATAATAATAATAATAATAACAACAACAACAACAATAATAATAATAATAATAATAATAATAATAATAATAATAATAATAATAATAATAATAATAATAATGTTATTACTACTCCTGCTGCTACTGCTACTACTACTATCATTGATATAATCACCAGCGTCAGAAAAAAGTAGGAAAAGAAATCAATATGGAGTTGGAACTAAATCAGGGAGGTAACTCTTCTGGTCTTACAATGCTCTTCATTGTTATCTTGCCACTAAAGGTCCTAATTTAGCTGCTGGCACGTTTGTGAATTCGAAAGATCTATGTACGTACGTACGTACGAATACGGTAAAGTTTACATCTAGGCAGACTGATTGGTAGTAAGGTATTGGTTAGGATGGTAGAATACAACTTTATACACCTTTAAGTATATTTAGTTGTATGCAGATAAACAAATATACCCAAATATAAATAATGGATATAATTAAAACAATATTTAAAGAATTACATATAATAGAAAATTGGAATATCCTAATTAAATTCCATGGATGGTTTTTGGATAGATGGATGGAATATGGTTGATGGGATGAATAGCAAAAATGTCAGATGTGTACGTGTCAGTACGTAATTTTTGTTAAATCGGCTGTCAACATTATTGTTAAAACGTGAAAATATGTGAACATAAATAATATTGTACAGAAACTCTTAACTCTCAAATAGAGGGATCATTCACTCCATATTACAGATCGTATGAGTACCTTACGGTAATCCATTACAGTATTCCGAAACTTTGCATAAACAACCCTGTGTCAGCATGCTGAATAATTTACTTCCTTTCCGCATGCAACCATACTTGTTAAAACAAGCGATACAAAAAAATGGTTATAAAACATTCCGTCCCAAAGCTGGGCCGGTATTTGTACATGTGCCCTGATGTATAATGTACTTCAAATCCTTACATGATTCAATTTGCATAACATGCACTAAAGATTACTCCCCCGGGAGATTTTGATCAAATCTACTTTGATCAGAGCGGCAAGGTCTTTGATGCTTTTACAGATCGATCGACCCCGTCGATATATTAAATATTTTTCGGGCACCATTATTATCACGTGATATTTGTGAGATATTCCCTCTGATAGGGTTAATTTACGAATTTAGCTTTTTATATTGTGT